CAAAATTTAAATTTCATTTTATAGATTTTAATAATTTTTAGATAAAAAATAAATGTCAATTAACAACTACACATTAGTAGATGAAGATATTAAGTATAAAACTTGCTAATATATCAATTGCAGCACTCGCACTCTAATAAAAGGTTTATATTTTCGAAGCATTTCAGTGAAACTAAAGTTGCATCAGGAAATTTATCGTACATGTGTTGAATAGTTTATAAAGTAATTACTGCAAAACAGTTCCTCAATTACTGGCGCATTTCATAATCTTGTAACATCATATTCCACGCATATTACGGAAAATGTTCTTTTCTAAAAACCCTAGTAATGATTTCAAGGAAAACACTACAAAGAGAGAAAATTCCAGATTATATCGTAAATTCATAATACCCTTATTGTATGCCACCTTTGTAATTTATGTTAAAAATAGATATTAGTAGAATATAAATCTACAAGCCTTACTTTTCACACGACACATACACATACTCATTTGTATGGCTTATTTTATCACAATTTCATCGTGGAAGTATATTTGACGTGAAACAGAAGCAATGAAAACAGGCATAACCATTTGTGCTACATACAAAATTTTCTTTATTATATATCTTCTTATCGTTGAAACTTTTTAAAATAGATATTTATTATACATATTATAATACGTGAATATGTGCAATTAACATTCTAATCATGTGGTCAAAGTTGACGTTAAAGAAAGTCATCGCTATTGTAAAACTAAGCTTGATCCCAACTTGGTGTTGGCCTCTACCAAAAGATACAATCAAATTGAAAGTTATCTGTGCAGGAATATATCAATACTTTAGCATAATTGTGCTCTCTAGCGTGGCTGCAGGTTTGATAAATGCAATGCGAAATCACTTTAATGATCCTGTCATTATCGCAAAATCGATAAGCGTTCTGTGTCCCGCTATACAAGTCGTTTGCAATATTATGTGCTGTAGAATTAATTCTTGTCGCCTACAAGTAATTATTATGAGCATTCATTAATTATTATACATTTAGTTGTTACGTAAAAGTAAAAAATAGACAAAGTGTTATCAAGTTATCATTGTATACACTCCCTCTTTGTAAATTTATATATTTAAGATATATAATATAATCAATTCCAGTTGGTTACTTTCGAAATGGAAAATTTCTGTGAATTACTTAAACCTCGTGAAGAAGCAATCCTTCAACGATATATCAATAAATGCGTCTATTTCTACGGTGGTTCTATGTTTTGGATTTACTTAAGTGCTGTTTTCATTATGTCTGGACCTGTTACACTAGATCAACCATTTCCAACAAACGCTGAGTATCCATTCGATGTTTATCATCAACCTTTAAGATCTATTATTTTTATACAGCAGACTATAGCTTGCGTGCAAGGTGCTGCCCAGCTATGTATGAATATTTTTATGGCGCTCTTAATATGGTTTACGTCAGCAAGACTTGAAATACTCATCGAAAAATTGCAAAAAATTACAAACATTTCTGAATTAAAGAAATGTATTCAAGAACATCAAAATCTATTAAAGTAAGACACTATTCTTATTTAAGGCACAATTACATCATTAATTCTACATCTGCATACTTTTAACGTGATTAACCCGTTTTTAATAAATATGTTAGAATTAATTTTGTAATAATGAAAAAACTTCATAAACCGAATAACATTATTTTATTATAATTTATTATATAATAATCATAAGTACAAAAATTATAATAGTCATACAACTTTTGCGATAAAATAATTGTTCAAACTTATATCACATAATCTTTTTTATATCAATTGAATAGAATTTTTTGTTACATATATCAACATGAAAGAAATTAATATTAATAATTAATAGTGTTATCATTTTTATATTTTTATCTCAGATATGCGGAAGAAGTGACCATTTTAATTCGTCCTATAGCATTATCAACTGTGAGCCTTAGTACTATCGCACTAATAATAGTAGGCCTCATTTTGTTAACCGTGAGTATTAAGTTACAGCTTTTTTTAATAATATTCAAAAATAATATTTAAAAATATTTGAAAACTTTACAGTATTTCAACTAATTAAAAAAAAAAGACAATTTGAAACAATGATAAAATATATTTGTAGAATTTTAAAAAAAGATACGGAGTATCTCTGACATGTGCACAATATTTTATGTGCGTTCTTTAATACATTACATTTGTGTGTGTGCGTGCGTGCGTGCGTGCGTGCGTGCGTGCGTGCGTGTGTGTGTGTGTGTGTGTATTCATTTTTATGTTTAATTTTATATTCTATCTACATTTATACAAAAATTACTAAAAAATTTATTAATATCCTCAACAAGATATTATATATAAAATTTTTTAAGTAATAATAACAATAATGTGTTAAATAAGTCATACTGTATTACAAATAGGATCAGCCGTTGTCAATGAAAATCCAATGCGTTGGTATAATGTTTAGTGGATTATCAGTGGTATTCATGTATACGTGGCCAGCAGAACATTTGATTCATATAGTAAGTTTAATTATTACAGAAAGAGAGAGAGAGAGAGAGAGAGAGAGAGAAAGAGAGAACTGCTACATTTTGATTAATCAATTACAATAAATCAACATTATTACCCAATATTGTTTCTAGAGTGATGAGATTGGACAGGCAGTCTTTGATACGGAATGGTATCAACAACCAGTCGCTCTAAGAAAGACTCTACAGATAGTTATGTTAAGGGCTCAAAAACCAATAATTATCTCAGTACCATGTGTTATGCCCGCATTATCTTTAAAATACTATGCATCGGTAAGGAACTAAATTTTAATATGCTATGACATTGAACATGCATAACAATCACAATAATATATAATCTGTTATTGTATATATAAAATCATAATGCATAAAAGCACTTCATTGTATGACACAAATATTACTAATATAAAAATTAGAGATAAGTTACCTGAATACACATCATATCATATAATTAAATACACGGCAAATATTATATTGCCAATTTAAAATCATAAATAAGAAATTTACATATATAATTCGGAATAAATTAATATTTTAGTTGAAATATTTTATTATATAAAGATATTACGAATGTGTTCCAGTATTTGTCGACTATATTTTCCTATTTCACAACGTTACGAGTAACCATGCAAAATGTTTGAAATAGAATGAGCAAAAACATGTGCTGCTGATAAGATTGGAAAATATGCAAGCAACTATATTAAATAGCTAAAAATCAATGTTTATTTTATTATTACGCTGATTATAATCAGATGACATAGATGACACAATAAAATCAAAAAAACTCGCTAAAATTTTATTTAATAATGTATAATTACTTAAAAGTGATTCATACTTATTTTCTTATCTTTTAGTCTTTTCTTATCATTTTGTTCCATAAAAAAAAACAATTAAACATAAAATTAAAAAATTGATACATTAGTTTACGGTTGTATTTATAAACATAAAAATATCAATCAGTTCTATTAACTTCAAATCTAGATGAGAATATTGTGAACTAAATAAGAAAGGACTTCTTATCGTGGCCACTATCAAAACATACCATATTAGTAAATACTAAATTTATATATTAAACTTCAAAATCTTATGCTTTTTGTTTTGAATGCAGCGATATTAAGTATACCTTTAACACATGCATCCTTTATTATAATACTTATTGTAATACCACCTAAAGATAATAAAACTATGCCATTTGCTGAGTGCCTCTATACAAATTTCTCTGGAGATAACACTACGCGCACTGCAATATAACCGATTGCAAGTAAGAGATACATAATCTATAATAATATATCGAACCGACTTTTGATAAACCATTCTCAATTTATTTTATTCAATTCCAGAGAAATATTCAAGAGAAATTAATAAGTTAAATATTTACTTTTTAATACCATTGAGTAACATTTTTTATATACTATTCTACAAATAACTTTTTTTATCATTTCTGTTTATCCGGAGCAAGATAACATTTTCACATAAAATATATTATATACTTTTAAAAATCGTATGTAATTTCTTCAGTCATCAATTTTATTCATTTATTCACAGCATAGGTATAAATTACATATCATAAAAATCAAATCAATATTCTGAGGACCGGCATGCTTTTGATCAACTTTTTTATTTTAAGGGCTAGAACTTTTTTGTCAATGTTATGGGATTGAATGGCTAAAAAGATTGAAGACGCCACTGTCAAGTCCCGAAAGACCCTCCAAAGGTTAAACTTCAATACTTGATTTCGGAAATGGAGTGCATAATTTCGAGTGAGCGGAACCATACGAAAAAAAATTTCATCAACGGTATGCAGACGTACGTAAATACGCGACGTGTTACGCAAACTCTATAGAGGCAGTTTTTCTCGGTATATGTAAAACAATGACTGTGCTACTGATCAGATTTTTCTGCAACAGATCAGACCTTTCCAATAGATGTAAAATATTCTTTCGATGTGAACGTGAATCAATGAAAACTATTATCTTTTTGCATCATTTCGTCACAGTGCTTTTTCATCATTTGCCTCTGCAACTTTCTTCTTTTCATATGGTTTCTCACGGCGTATTTCTAAATCCTCTCACAACAATTTCGTTTGGTCATTAATATCTATGGATGCGTTCCGAATCATCATTTGTCCTTGGAGTTCACCAATTAATAAAGAAAGTAAAACGATATATTATGCGCTTCATGCGTAACTCGGAAAGCACCCTATGATATCATCGTATCCGTACATCATAAAAGAAATTATTGAAATAATAGGAAAATGCATTTTATAGTTTGTCAAAGTTAATAATTATTATTCTCTAATAAAGAAATAATTATTGTCATATGACTTATATTTTTTTTAAAGACATCTAATACTTTACATACATATTTTATGTGTTTCATGTCAAAGTTATCTCATATATAACATATCATTCCTTATTTTTCGCGTAAAATAAAATAATATATAATATAATAAAATTGTCGTGTTTTTTATTACGTTGGATTAATTGTTTTCTTAATTCCTATTAAAATTAATTTAACATGAAATTAATTTAATCATAAAAATACAGCTTATAATAATCTGTACCTTTTTCATTATAATTATATTCAATATCAATTAAATAAAACACAATTAAATAACACTACAGTTAATTTTTTGTCACGCATTATTTCAAGATTATAAGAAAATCTTTATTTAATATAGATATATAATGAAGACCATCGATTGGAATAATTATAATAAAGATATTACTTTTACACACATAGATATTCTTTTAAAGACACAACATAAAATATTTTAGGATTAATAAAATTAATTAACCTTATTAAGTATTTTGCTCTAAATTTTCTATTTCACTTATCATATAACACGCGTTATATAAAATATTGTATAATTATTTCAACGTTTAGTCAATACTTCAAAAACCGCAAAAAATACTAAAAAATTATATATGCGTTGCATTAATTTATATTTTAAAGCAAAATGTACTTTTTTCCGGCACAGAGTGACGTATGCGAAACTATAATGTGGCAGAAATTATGAAAGAGAAATGGAAATAATGAAATGTAGAAGGAATATATACGTTTAACAAAAAATCAACGTATAAATCAATATATACATCCCTCCTATATTTTATTATTTCCTTTCTTCTCTCATAATTTCTGCCACATTATAGTTCCGCACGAATCGCTCTGCCGAAGAAAACTACATTTTGCTTTAAAATATAAATGAATGTAACGTAGGTATAATTTAAGTGTTTAATATCACGCGATTTTTCTTTCCTCGAATTCTTGAGGTATGTTATTTAAAACATTTTAGTCGAGTTAGAATCGTAATAAAATTCATTATTTTCCATCTCTAATACAGTACGACATTATTAGTGTTATTATGACAGAAACATTGACGCTAGAAAAAATTATTGCCTTCTTAAAAGTAGATCTGACGTTTGCATGTTGTTGGCCACTTCCGATGAAGTCAACAAAATTTCAAAAAATTCGTGACAAGATATTTCGATTGTTATGTTGCTTAAATGGCATTATAATGTCAATATCATTAATATATACATTAAGCAAGAAGTATGATAATATGATTCTTGCGATGAAAGTGGGCTGTGAACTGAGCGCCTCTTGGCAAATTCCAATACAAATTACATTATTCACACTTCAAAGTGACCGTTTGCAAGTAAGAAACACAATGTGCTTTTGAATTTATTGTAATTTCGATTTATTTGTATCATAGATAAAAATCATAATATAAATCTGGGAAAATTAAATTTAAATTTTATGTAATATAGAGATTTAAATTTGTGCGATATAACTTACAAATTTTTCAATTATAGTTGTGACAATTTCTAAGAAAATTAAAAAAAATTTATTTAAATAAGATTTTCTTTTTTTTTATTTCAATCTTTTACAATTAAAAAATTTTAATATTATTGGCATTTAAAACAATTTAATATCGTTGTTTGAATATCACTTTTTTTGTACTATTTATAAACTTTTCTCTACTTACATCTGTATGTATTTTGTTTCTAAATTAAAAAAAACTTATTTAACAAAATTAACATGTCTTAATAATAGCATTTTAAAAAAATGTACTTTTAAATAATCTTTTTTTAAACTTTTTCATTAATATCGTAAAAGAATATACAAACAGTAATGTACATTTAGTACTAATATTTTATACTATATATTCTACAATACGAAATAGTTCAAATTGAATTATTATATTATACTTATACTTGTGCAAAGTTTAATTTGCCCAAAATTTAAAAAGTCATAATTGAAAATATATTTAGGAAATACTGCCATTTTAATAGATAGATTTAACTGGTGTACAAATAAACTTTTTTTGCTAACTCTGTTATTAATAAGAGATTACATAATATGCTGATGCAGATCATAATATACGAAATGGAAGATTATATTCAGCAAGCAAAATCAGAAGAGAGGAACATATTTCAGCGATATATCAACAAATGCAAATTATTTTACGGTACGACAATGTGTTTGATGACCATGACAGCTATAATAATGTGGTTCGGACCATTATTGTTGGCTCAATCCTTTCCAATCGAAGTTGACTATCCATTTGATGTGAATAAACAACCACTAAGAACTATTATTTACTTGCATCATATAATGGCTGTATACCAAAGTCGTACGCAAGTATGTAGCAACATCTTCGTAGCTCTCCTGCTTTGGTTCACAGCAGCAAGATTCGAGATTCTATCCCATAAATTTCAGAAAAGTACAAGCATCTCAGAATTCATAATCTGTATACAACTGCATCAACGATTATTACGGTAATATGTAAATTATGTAATGCGCAACGGCGCATAACATCTTCTTTAATATTTATATACTTATATATAGAGGTGTTACTAATCATAAAATTATCGATAACTATCGATATACTTTATAATATATCGATAACATAAATTACTGATAATATTGATTAGATATCAGTAAGTAAAGATAAATTCTGATAAAGATATTAAACTGCTCGAAAGTTCTTATTGCTAGACAATTATTTTTGACTGATGAGAATAAATCTAATTAAATGCCTCGGCCGGGAGTCGAACCCGGATCTCTTACATTCCGTAATATTTTTCGCAATAAGTTTATTACAGTTTTTTAAGATTTGGGAGAATTTGGGGGGATTATTTGTTTCAGATTGATTGTGTGAATCCGATAATTTCATCGGCTCTCAATTTATTTCTGAAATATTAATTCAATTTAATTGAATGTATATTAGATAGTAGTTCAACATCTTAACACTCGACCGAAAAGGCGCTTTGTATTTAAAGTCTTAATATTCATATAGACGGTCTTGTTTCCAATCATATTGTTTAGAATACGCTCGCCTATACATGCGTAACTCACTATATATATCGGTTATTGCGAAGAGTGTTGCTAAGGTCTCGGTAGTCTAAAGGCTCAGGACGCTCATACGGAATGTAAGAGATCCGGGTTCGACTCCCGGCCGAGGCAATATTTTTCGCAATAAGTTTATTACAGTTTTTTAAGATTTGGGAGAATTTGGGGGGATTATTTGTTTCAGATTGATTGTGTGAATCCGATAATTTCATCGGCTCTCAATTTATTTCTGAAATTTTAATTCAATTTAATTGAATGTATATTAGATAGTAGTTCAACATCTTAACACTCGGACCGGGAAGGCGCTTTGTATTTAAAGTCTTAATATTTATTAGTTAAAATTAAAAGCATACTTAACATGAGTAGCTAAGTAAGTGGCAGCTATTCCTTACTATCTTAGCCGCGTAACCGAACAATTTATTCACAATTGTTTCTGGGACGCTGCCGATTGCCATTTTATTTTAGCAAATAATATTTTCGCAGCACCTTAATTTTAGCGGATAATAAATTGAACTATGGTAGTAATGATATTAGTTGTCCCTATTATAACGACACATTTTAATGCTAGATATGTTTTAGCTGCGTAAGCTAATCTTTTCTCTGCGTGTGTATTACTTTTTATTAATTATAATTAATTCTATAATAGTGTACATATATAATAAAATTAATAAAAAAAACTAGTAGTAATTAACAGCTAATTACAGATATGCAAAAAATGTTACTATGACAGTTCGATATATTGTATTGTCATCGGTAGGATTCAGTACCATAGCAGTGGTATTTAGTGGCCTTACTTTTTTGAGCGTGAGTCATTTCTCCATCTTTTCTTTGCATATACTTGTTACATAATATTAAATTTATTTATTTTAAATACCTTAAAAATCTTAATTAAAAATAGTAGAAGCATGTGAGAGAATCCCGTTTATAAATCGACTGCCTGCAGTATAGTTTGCCTACATAACTTTTGTCGACAGTTCGTTTACATACAAAAATTATTGTTTACAACTCAATTGCTTACATGGCTATGCTATTCTCTGCTTTAAAAACACAAATTCTGTTTTAAAACACAAATTATCTGCTTTAAAAACATAAATTCTCTGCTTTAAAAATACAAATTATTTTTTTACTTAACCTTAATTTTATATTTGTGCGCAGAAGTGCTTGTAGACAACCGAGCTGTAAGCAATAATACATGTAGGCAAATATGACTTCAAAAGATAAATAATAAAGAGCATAAATATGACTTCGTTTCTGAAATTTTTATTTGTATGCAAAAGTGATAGGCAATGGAGCTGTAGGTAATAATTTTGTATGCAAACTGTCGGCAAAAGTAATGTAGGCAAACGATGCTTAGTAATCGAATTATTAGTAAAAGAAGTTATCTCGAAGCATATTAATTTTAAGTTAACACATCTAATACAAACACATGTAATATTTATGTACTTAGTATTATGAAAATTAGATAAATAAACGCGACTTAGGTATTACATAATTTACTAAGAAAAAAAAATTAAAAATTATTTTATTAATTTAGAATTGTAGACACTGTGACTAATTTTTTTCTTTATATCACAAAAATAATCTAAATTAATTTGTATTACTTATATTAAAATATTATCTTGCACAGCAACAACCATTAACTATAAAAACCCAATTTTTTGCCATTGCCGCATCCGCACTTATAGAGGTTTTCATCTGCGCATGGCCAGCTGATTATTTATTGCGCACGGTAAGACATACTAGCCATATAAAACATAAGAAAAGGCATAAAAAGAGTTTATATTAAAAAAACAAAAAAATTAAAATTGCAATAAAATAAAAATAAAAATACAAAATATGTATAAATTTTAGAATAAATATATAGATGATACATGATTTCTTTTAATATAATTGATGGAATCTATCATCACATTTTTATCTTGTGAAAAAAATACATATTATATTAATGATTGTGTCTTTATTCTGGATAAAATTTTCTTATAATGTTTTCTTTATTTTAATATTTCAGAGCAATGACATTGGTCATGCTGGATATGAATCGTCATGGTACAGTAAAGATATATCTTTACAGAAGAATTTATTACATACTGTGTCGAGATGTCAATATCCTGTAACTCTAACTGTGCCATGTCTGCTACCGACTCTTTCACTTAATTATTATGCTTCTGTAAGTCATATCTTAAATTAGAATATTCACAGGAGTTATTCTCAGTGGTTCAATTAAAATTCAATAATCTTATATATAATAATTCATAAAAAAGATTATTAAAAAAATGTCGATATTCGCTCCCAAGTATGAAGTAGATTAAGGTAATCGGCAATCTTTACATGTACAATTCTAGATAGAATAATTATTTTGCAATTATTAACATATATATATGATTGTCATTTTTTATTATTTTTAAGTCATTCTAGCAATGTTTCCCTTTTCGGAAAAGTTATTATTTCCTGTCATTCATAATTTCAATAATTTTTCAGGTCCATTTATTTTATACTTGATAGCAAAAATCGGCAATTTTTAACATTTTTCTTTATTATTATCTTTTTAAACATAATAGTTCATTAT